CTCCAGTAAGTCATCGACCTCTAGGGGGCGTGCGCGGCTCCCTCCGGCCTCCCTCCGCTGGGCTCCGCCTTCCTAGCCCTCTCCCTCCGCTGGTCTCCGCCTTCCTAACCCCTCCTAGGGTCCAGTTCCGCGCACCCACCGAGCCTGCAGGCTCTTGATCCGGCCCAGCATATCCAGATGCCCTGCCGAATACTGTTCGATGACGTCCTTCACATCATATGGTCGCAGCGTCTCCTTGAATTTCCTTTTGGCTACCAGGAACTTCAGAATCCTGTCGGGGCAGGGGGGTCTTAGAGAAACTGTCCTGTTCCAGTAGGGGATTCTTTTCCAGTCCCATCTTTGTCCCTTTGCCACTTCCTTGTCCAGCTCCAGTGTGTCTCCTGTTTGGGCCATCACAGCAACCTCTGCTGGGTGCCCCCACCTCCCTGCCCACCCACCCCAAATATTTGTTTGGTGGGTTTTGTTTTGTTTTGTTTTGAGTGGGACAAAGGTTTGAACTTAAGGCTTCATGCTTGCAAAGCAGGCGCTCTACCACTTTTGCCAGACCTCCAGTCCATTTTGCTTTGGTTATTTTGGAAAAGGGGGCGGGGTCTCAAGAACTATTTGCCCAGGCTGGCCTCCAACCTTGATCCCCTGATCTGTTTCCCAAGTAGCTAGGATTACAGGTGTGAGCCACCAGCACCCAACTTGTATGGTGTTTTGGTTTTTTTTTTAATGTGCCTGCAGCTGCAGTCCCAGTAGCCTCAGAGTTGTTGTAGGGATTGGGCCTGGTGTCCCTCAACTAGGTGGGACACAGGGCATCTGTGAACACTAACTTCTGATGATGACAGCTTGAGGGAAGAAATACTGCACAAATCTCCCACAAATACTTGGCACTGCCGTGGGAGCCCTGAGCACCCAATGGAGAGTGATATTCAATCCCTAGCCTCAGGGCACCCAGGGCTCAGGGTGGGAAACTGAGAAGAGACAGGCAATTAAGGGGTGACAAGGGCCATGTTCAAAGAAGAGAAAGAGAACTAGAGTCATGAGACAGCCTCAGCTGTGAGGTCAGGGGACAAGCCTTGAGAGTGGCATTTTCTGGTCCCAGGGCAAGAGGCAGATGAGGAAGGAAGCTTCCCAGAAACAAAGAGGTATGGAGGCATTCGAGAGGGATGCAGTTCTGGGAGCAGGAACAGGGATACGATGAAAGAGGTCGGTCCCCAGAGAAGGAAGCAGCAGATGAGCCATGAGAAGGAAGCTGGGGAGGACTGTGAGGAGCCCCAAAAATCCAGGACGGGGAGGTCATTCACTCTGCTTCAGCATGACCACTGAGAGCCAGAGTCAAGGACAGGAAGAGACAGACCTGATCTTGGAGAGAGCAGTGGGATGGAGGTAGGGGTCAGCTTTGAGCAAATCAGGAGGTAGGACTGAAAGGCTTCCCAGTCCAGGATGACTCCTGTGGCTGGGGCCACAGATGGTCGTGCTACTGCCTAAAATGGGAACCCTGGAGGAAGAGCAGTTTTGGGACATGCTGGTTGTGAGGAGTCTGTGGGGTGGCCAAAGATTATTGACCTGACCCTCACAGCTTAGGCACTGTGGCCACAGGAGGGCAGAGGGCAGGGAAAGGGGATGAGAGGATACCATGACTCTGATTTCAAAAGGAACACAAAGACAGGAGGCTATGAGCAGGTACTTGAGCCAGAGAAGAGAGGAGCTGAGTCTAGAAGGCCTGGGGCTCAGGGGCCTGTGGACCTAGAGCTGCAGGCTGAAAATGGAGACCAGGCCAGGACTCCTTGCCAAGGTGCTGGGGCCAGACCCATACTGGGCTGTGGCTATAGTACACAGAAGACTTTTTCCCACTTAACTGTTAAGGCACTGACTACAGCTGAGGCTTTCAAACTTTTCAGACCAAGACCTACCATAAGAGATACATTTTATATCACAAGCCAGTACAAGTACACACACACACACACACACACACACACACACAAGTGCACATACATACACACATGCATGTATACATAAATAACTGAAATACAAATTTCATAAACATTATTTACCCTTAGTATGAGATGCATTCTCATATTTTCAATTTTTTTTTAATGTTGACCATAGCCCCACTAATTTTGTTTCTCTAAGTTGATTTCAAACTGCCTTGACCTATGGTTTGAAAGCACTGCCATGGAGGAAGTCTGGAGAGAAACAGAGAGAGACCAAGATACTCAAAGAGAGAGCTGGTAGAATGGCTCAAGCAGTAAGAGCCTTCCAAGTGTGAGGCTCTGAGTTCAAATCCCAGTACCACCAAAAAAAAAAGAAATTGAAATAATCAGGAAGAGGGAGAGAGAGAGAGAGAGAGAGAGAGAGAGAGAGAGAGAGAGAGAGAGAGAGAGAGATGCTGAGACAAAAGGAGCCTGGGACTGAGACACAGGAATCAGGAAAAGAACACATGGAGAACCCAGGAGAGACAGACAGGTGCCAACACAGAGAGGGAAAAGGAGAAGGAAAAAAGCCTGACATGAAGTGGGAGATAGACAAAGGAGCGAGAAACAGAAAGGTGGGGTGGGAATGACTGGAAGGACACTGCACATATGGGGACCAAAGGCAGCTGTGCCACCAGCCAATGAGCCAGGCTCTCTGGACATAATGCAGAGGAGCAAGCCCTACTGGGAGCCATATGCTACCTGCCCACCCCTTCTGCACTCCAGGTGGGCAGCAGCTGGCACACTGGGAGCTAGGCCAGGCCTGGCTAGGAGGGCAGGCCCAGATGGGGAGCAGCAATAGGCAGCAGGCGGAAGGGGTACTACCTCAGCCTTCACCCTCACCTGACAGAGCGGATGACTGTCTTCACAGCAGGCATGACATCGTCCACTGTGAGTTCACACTGGTAGCTCTTCTCCTCAGCTACTTCCTCTGGCGGGCCCTCTGAAAAGACAGGAATGTCCACATAGTCCAAGTAGTGGCAGCAGAAGGGGCCACTTCCAAACCCCACCTCCATTAAAGGTACTGATAGGAAGACAGAAAGGGCACAGACCATCCTGGAGTAAAAACTAGCCCAAGCTCCTGCATCCCTGGCTGTTGCCCCTTGCTACCCTACCCAGGATGGAAAACCCTAGGGTGCTACATGCTCATCTGTCCCTGTGGCTGGGCAGGCCAGATCTGCCTGGTGCCAGGAGAGTGGCAGCTGCTTTAGGGCACATCTAGTCTGGCCTGGGGCAGATGGGATACACACAGCCCTACAGGAGGTCCCACTGATCCCTGCATGCAGGACAGAGGGCGCTGAAGAAATGGCATTTAGTGTTCTGCTCATAATCATGTGCAGTCTTATTCTCTAACTAGGAGAGAAGGAAGCCCAAGAATGGTTCCTCTACCCAACTCTGCTGCCAGAGAGGGCCCTTAAAGATAGAGAGACAGCTCCAGAGCTGGTACCCTGTGCCAAAAGAGAGGTGACACTCTCCTCACCTCCCAGGAGAAGGGGGCAGGGAAGGGAGGTCCCAGGCATAGGCCATGCCCAGGCTTCCATGGGTCAGCATCCCAAAGACTGGTTTGTGGAGTTCTGTAACCTTCCAGGAAAAGGCTCTCTCAGCCTTTTCCTGAAAAAAGCCTGGGCATTTTGACACAGCATAAGCAGAGGTAATGTAGCTGGTCCCCCTCCCCCCAAGGCCAAAGGGGCTTCCTGTCCCCATTCTCCATCCTTTCACTCACACCCTCTTTTCCCAACTGGGCCCTATAGCATGTCTTGAAACTAGGAGGGGTCTTCCAGAGATCTGGGTGCAGACCTATCATTTTCCAGAAGAGGCTGCTGAAGCACAGAATGGAGTAGCCTCCTGTCTACATCATGGTGCAAATTGCAAGCAGAACTAGAACTCAAGAAAAGGTCCTCCTCTAATAGTGGAAAAAAGACACCCCTCCTTGCCCAGATATCCAGCCACATGTCCACAGGCTTGTCTGGGTATGAGGGAAGGGCCTAGTGTGGACTTTAGAACTGGACAGATCTACCTGGGGATACTCTGCTACTCACACAGTGAGAATCTCAATTTCCATGTCTGCAAAATGGGGCTAAAGCAGGGTCGTTGAGAGAAGCCAATGAGATAGTCTAGTGTGGGGCTGTATACAGGGCTTGTGACATGTGACAGACTCCTGCTCCTTCTGAAGCACCTTTCTAACACTGGCTTTTTGAGCACTTACTTACTATATTCCAAACACTCCTGTTTGCCTTCCATGGATCATCTCACTTAATCTTCACAATAATCCTCTGAAGCCGATAAGACTATCACAACCCTCCCCCTTTTACAGATGTGGAAAATGGAGCCCAGGGAGATGAGGTCACTTGCCCAAGATAAGTAACAGAGCCAGAATTCAAATCCAGGCACCCTAGCTCCAAAGCCTGTGCTCTTAACACTACCAAATGCCATCCTCCACATTTTCACTTGAGGCTTCTACAGTTGGTGCCTGAGTTACAGCAAAAAAAAGTATTATGATGCCCATTTTATAGAGTGGAAGACCCGCCCTTCCATCTTCAGCAGGTCCAGAGCCCCAGACTTCGTGTGGCTCACCCTCCGCAAAAGTACGGGGCTTGAGTCTTAGAGAGGCCCGGAAGCGGGTGCGGTCGTTGAAGCTCCAGCTCTTCTGCACCTTGGTGGGGCTGGTGGCCTCGCCCACCTGCTCACTGCTTGGGGAGGTCGGCATTGGTGGAGGTGCCAGGTGCTGTTTGGAAGGACCTGTCCGCCGCTGGGAGCTGCCCATACGGATGCGGTCTTTGATACCCATCCGGCTGCTGGCAGGGCAGGACAGGTCGGAGAGAGAACCAAGTTAGCCAGTGCAGGGCAGGGGGTGAAGGAAACAAAGCTAACCTAAGACTTGAAGGTAGCTATTGGGCCTTGATTCCCTACGAAGCAGAGACTTCTTGAGGTATAGTGAGAGGAGCCCTGACCCCTACTAGAAACTGAATCAGGGTCAGTCAGAGCATATCCCCTTCCCAGCCCCACCTCCCACCCCACCCCCTTACCCAGAGAGATAAGGAGTGCACAAGAAACAGATGTCAGAGTGGAAGGAGTGAAAGAAACTCAGAAGGAAGTCAGAGACAGACAAGAGGACAGAAGATCTGGGCCTGGCCCAGGTGGGTGGTTTGGAGGGTGGAGATGGGGACCCTTTGCACACAGGCAGGCTGCTGAGGGACAGAGTTCACATGGCCACACACACTAAGGGAGGCTTCCAATCCTCACTGTACACAGGGCTGGCTGAATGGAGTCAAGGAGGTATGTGTGTACATGTGACAGTATAGGTACACAAGTGCCAGTATGGATGAATACACACGGTGTGTTTGTGCATGTGTCAATTTATATTTTCCATCTTTTTCCACTGCTGGAGCTATCCCATCTCACACTGCTCAGGTCAGGGCTTTAGGACCTGGCACAGCAGTGCAGGTAGTATACTGCAAAACAAGTCTCCATCACACAGACTTACATGTGATGGTACCCATATCAGTGTGCAGTACGATGGTCTGCCGAGGGCCTATGAACGTCCAGGACATGCCCAGTGCCCACCATCCCAGTGAGGGCCTATGTTTGGTAACCTGTTTTTCTGTGGTCACCCCTGCCTGTTCACTGGGACGAATGTGGCCTTGGACGCCCTGGAAGACCTACCCCAACCCTCTACACCACCTACTGAGCACACATGTGCATGAGTGGATGTGTGCTCTGACTTCCCCTCCTGCACCCAGCTCCCTACCACATCCACAAACCTTGGAGGAAGACAGATAGGGGGAGGTTTCTGGCTCCCCTAGACAGGCCCTGTTTAACCAATACCTGGTAAAGTAACTCTGTGTCCAAGAGGTTCAAGAACCACTCTTGATGTTTGGGTGGGACCTATGCAAACATCTTCCACACCACGGCCTATTGCATCCCTGCTGCCTCCCCAGTAGTTTGCAACTAGAGGACCCCTGCAGACATGTTTGAGAACCTCCATCCCAAATGTCTGAGACCCTGGCTCAGAAGAGTCAGCCAGTCTCAGAGGAGGCCTGAGGCCCAGTAGGAGTGAAGGAACAGTGATGTCACCTACTCTCGGGGCTTTCGGATCAAGGGTTGAGCAGAGGTCAGATTCTGGTTTCAGAATTGGGTAGGAAGCATGGTCCCCCATGCCCAGGACATGAGGTAGAGGGTGGAGAGCCAAGGTGCTGAGGTGAGGGAGTTCTTGAAACCAGGGGTACCTTCGAGAAGGTGGCCCAGATGTAGGGCCATCCTGAGGAGGAGGGCCTCTGCCCAGAAGGAGAGGTTTTAGGTCAAGGACTGGGGTCAGGGATGGCTACCAAAATCGAGCATGCTCTTTACCAGCCCTGGATCCCCTTGACACATCCCAAAGATTTCAACTGAAGTTTGAAGGCAGCTTCCCCAAACTTGCCTCTGTAGAGCCATTCCTGTGGGCTCTCATGCTGGCAAGCACCCCACCTGCCCATCCGTGCAACCCCACTCTGTCCTCCACTCCTCCAAGGGGGAGAGAAGGAAGAGGCTGGAGAAGACCCCAGCACTTCCAGCCAAGGGCCTAGAACTCTGGATCACTGCACCCAGCATATCAGGTGCCAACAGCATTCTGGGGAAGGGGAACCTTCCTCTCATGAGAAGTTGCAACAAGGCTGAGCTTGTACTCAGCAGGACTTTGAGAAGAAGCAGGCTGAGACTTGCACTAGAGGCCTTGAAAGGTCCCTTTCCGGCTCTGATTCTGTGATGGAGGAGGGAGTTTCTGGCCTGGTTGTGGGATTCTGTAACTTTCCAGCCAGTCAGAGGCCTTGGCTCCTCTTTAATGCAAGAAGACACTTTTTCCCAGGAGTGGCCCTGGATTCTAGCTTCTTGCGCAGGGCCCAAAAAAAGGTTCACATCTGCCTCTCTGGAGCCTGAAAGCTCACAAAAAAAAAAAAAAGAGAGAGAGGAAGAAAGAAAAAGAAAAAGGAAGAACCTGACACACAGTAGGCACCAAAAAGCTCTCTCCCTTCCCAGGTTCTTTGGAGCACACCAATCCTGCCTATCGGCCATGGCACTTTCAGTCCTCTGAACCACTTTATATAGGGGACTCCAAATCAGCCATCCCTATTTTACAGATATGGAAAGAGGGGAAACAATTTGCCTGAGGTCACAGAGCTTCCATGGGACACAAAAAGGCCTGGACATTTCTCTGATTTCAGAGACTGTGTTCTTTTTCAGGGACAAGTGGTCAGGGTGGAGACTAGGGCAGTAGTCCTCAACTGGGAGTGATCTTGCCTATCAAGAGACACCTGCCAACGCCAGGAGACATTGGATGGAGGTTACCCTGTGGGGTGTGCTCCTGGCATCTAGTGGGTATTTGCCAGGAATGCTGCTAAACATCCCATGAGGCACTGATAGCCCCAAGTAACAGAACTATCTCATTCAAAATTCCCATGGTGTCAAGGTCAAGAAACTGTGGGCTATGGAGCTGTTGGTGCCTAGAAGGATGGTATGGGCTTGGCTGCAGCTGTCCTGGGAGGAGGGAAAGCTCTGGCATAGGCTGCCCTCTGACCTCTGACTGCCCTGTGGGACCTGCCCAAAGAAACATGACTATTGAGTAGTGACTAGATAGTGGTACAAGCCCACATTTCTAAGGAAGGCTGCTTTGGGCATATAGAGGGGCTCTATCCCTCATCTCCAACTTCAGGGCTCCAGAGGCACCTGGGGGAACCCAGGGTTCCATAAACCCAGGCCTTTGGGAAAGGCAAAGAGGATGAAGTTCACACTGGACTATGAGTTCTCCATGACCCGGCCCTGCCCTCACCCTCAACTCTGACATCACATTCTCAAATATGGCTCCAATGGGCTATGGGCTTGTCTCCCATGGCTGTGTTTTCTTGCCTCTTTGCCTGGTCTGTGCTGCTCCCTCTGCCTGGGAGTCCTCCCTAACAGCTGCTGCTTCCAGGGCTGCCTCTGGGTTAAGTGCCCAACCCAGGCTCCACAGCCCCTCTGCTTCCTCCTTTCATTGAGCTCATCCCATGGAACTGCAATTACTCTTTGCAACTCTTTGGGGACAATGTTTTATTCATCATCATGTCCCCAGTGCACAGAGCAAGGCCTGGCACAGGGCAGGTACCACAAATGTAGTGGTGATACAGCTAAAAGAGCTGGGGCTCTAGAATCAGTGAAGGAAGGGCCAGCTCCAGCCCCTTTAGGCATCTGTGGGGTATCCAAGTGGGAAGAGGGGAGACAGAAAAACCCCAAGATCAGGCACAAGTCAGAGTGAGAAGGACCCTCAGATAGCCTCTAGTTCAATCTGCCCATTCCACAGATGGGAAACTGAGGTCCAGAGAAGGGAAGCAATTTGGCCAAGATCACACATGGGTTCTGTGGCAGAACTAGTACGCATCCCAAGGTTCCTGCAAGTGTCTCTTCTGGCACACTGGGTCCATGCCCCAGACTTGGCAAAGGCATCCCCAGGTAGGCAAGAGGCTCATTAGATCCAAGGCAGACAGCAGGCGGCAGGCACATGCACCTTGTCCTTGGCTCATCCTGTCCCCCTCTCCAGCCCCAGAAGTGAGGGGGCAAGGAGGAGTGAGGACAGGAGGAGCAGGCGAGGGGGTACCTCGGTCTCCAGCTGGCGTGGATCCGAAAGAAACTCCGTTTATTACTAAACATCTGGCTGGAAAGTTGAGAACAAGACACAAACAGAGGTTAGTGACAAAGGGGCAGGTGGGTAGAGCATAGGGAGCTGCCAGGATGGGACCAGCCTTCTGTGGCTGGTAGGAGAAAAAGATCCCCACCCAAGTCACCCTCTAGCCCCATCCCCAGAACACAGAAGCTCTCGAGCTTTGCATAAGGATCTCCTGAGAGCATGTTGAACTGCAGAACTCCGGGCCTCTTCTCCAGAGTCAGACTCTGAGAGCCTGGAGAGAGATCCAGGTGTTTGCATTCTGAACACACACCCCATGGGATGCTGATGCAGGCAATCAGGAGACTGTGCTTTGAGAAATTCATCACAAAACCCTAAGAGAGGAGATGCTGGCCTCCAGTACCCAGGAAATTCCTGCTCCTTGGAGCTTGACTTCCTGGGAACATGCTCGGTGTGGCCCATCCCCAAGCACCACTGGGAATGTGGTCAACCATATGGGCTGTGTGTGGGTGTGTGTGTGTGGGTATGTGTGGGTGTGTTTGGGGAATGTCCTGGTAGGAGTACCCACCCACAGGGCCCAGGAAGTCAAAATTAAAGAGACTGCTACTTGTCTTAGCCTAGTGACAAATCTAGAATTCCCATCTCAGCCCCCTGGGGTCCCTTGGAAAAAGGGACACTTGACCACCGTCACCACAAGTCCCAGACATGCAGACACTCCAGGACAGATGGGCAGAGGTAGAGTTTGTGGCGGCCAAGCCCTCAGCAGTAATCTGTTCCTAGGCTCAGGGAGCTCAGGGACTCGGGGACTGGAAGTGAGCCTGGAACCTGGAACCTGTGCCTTCCTAGTCAGTGTGGGAGACCAGGGTGAACTGGTGCAGGGTCCTGCACAAGGTAGCTGGAACACTAAACCTTTTAAGTTTCTACCTATACATCAGAGTTTGGCAGGGATGGGGAGAACACTGAAGGGCCTTCAGGCAGGGCTGGGGAATCCAAGTGAGGCCACATGATAGCCTTCTCTTCCAGGGAGCTTCCAATCTCCCTCGAGCTCCAGCCCTGGAGGGGTTCTCCCTCTTCACCCACCTCCTGTTCAGCCCTGGCCCAGAGTGTCCTCAATGAGGACAGGGAAGGGACGCTGCTCCCCACATTCTTTACACCAAAACACTCATCATCCCGTTCTCCAGACCTTTTCAGCCCAGGAACTCAGAGAATCCAAAGCTCCTGATCAGCCTAAATATCACTGATTTTCTGCTAGGGGCAGAGTGACTTGATGACTTTCTCAAGGACAAACAGCATCCAGTGACAGAGACAAGCTTCTACCATACCTTCTTCTGGGCGCTGAGGGGCTCACCTCTTCCCTGATGCCTTGTTCTAGGCCTGGGGCCCAGAATTACATGGAAGGCTCAAGGCCCAGATGTCCTCCTAGCTGGCTCAGGGACAATGTGTGATGATGAGGCAAAGCAACAAGGTAGGTGAAGGATGCTGGAGGCATGAGGGGGATTGAACCCTTGACCTCAAACTAAGCCCCTAAAGAAGCAGCCACTTTTTCCCATGCTATTAGTGGTTTCCCTTACCCCAATATGCCTGGAATTCCTCTATTAATGAACATTTGCATAGAATAAGCATGCTCTTTCTTGGTTCTTCTTTCAGGATGCAAAAGCTCCAGAGAGACAGGTCAAGGGGAAAGAGATGGCTGCAGGTAGCAAAGAGTACCTCAGTAAGGAAGAAGAGAATCCCAGGAGGACCCTGTGCACTAGCAAAGCTGCAGACAAGGTTGCATAGACAAGGCATTATTTGCTGGCTGAGTTTACGTAGGTCCTATAGCAGTCTTAGCCACAGAGCTCTTTTCCCAGCTGACATCTGGTTCCCAAGAGGGGAGTTCAGTGTCAAGCCCTCCTAGAGCGACATGCTGGGGGAAGGGGTTCCCTGCCCTCACACCCCAGAATGGTGCCCGCGATTACCTGAGCCGTAAGCACCTGGGGCCAGCGGCCTCCTCCTCTCTCCAGCTTCCCGGGAGGGATGGGGGTGCAAGGATGGAAGAGTGAGGGAGACGAGGAAACAGAGAAAGAAGAGGACAATGGCATGAATGGAGGAGGTGACAGGAAAGGATGGTACGGATATCTTCTCTCCCTCTCAGACCCTTGGAGTCGCAGGTGATAAAAAAGATGAGTCCAGCCTGGCCTCTTCAGAGAGGCCCTCAGTCTGTACCTGTCTTGACAACATGACAATCATGAGGCCCAGGAGACCCCAAAACAGGCCCAGACACCACATGGTGGCTGAAGGCAGGTCTGAGAGAGGGTGAGACAGAAAATGGAAGAAGAGGAAGAGAAGCAAGAGGAGGTGGCGGCCCCATGGGGCCCCTACCTTTCCCCAGGGCAGAAGGAGGCACTGCCCGGCCGGTGGCAGGTGGCAATGGGAGGGTAGCGGGAGGGCGCTCCATCAGGTACCGGCGCCCGCCGCACCTCCAGGGGCCGTAGGCCCCCATTTCGGGCCCGTTGAACGTGCTCAAACAAGAGGGCCAGCTCTCTGCAGGAGAGGGCGCCATCAGCCACAGACAGGGCCCTGGCATCAGCCCCCTCCCCCCTTAACCCAGTGGGTACTAAGCTCCTAAGCTCAGATCCTGCCAGGTCTTGATCCACCTTCTAGGGGTGCTCACAAACACCCCAGGCCAAAACAGATGGAGGTGGAGGGTAGGAGAGACTGCCTTTCTTCCTCCCTTTCTAAATGCTAGTTCCTAGGAAATTTTCAAGGATGCCAAATATGGTTGTGCAGGTTGGGCACAATTCAAGAGCACCTGCATGAGGCAGTAAGTGGGAGGTCAAATCCAGTTGACAGCTTATCAGGCCAACTGCCTGGATATAGAGTTATGCCCCCAAGAAGGGTAGCAGCAACCCAGAATTCCTCAGTCTCCCAATCCAACTCTGGATTGTAGCAGGGAGACTAAGGCTGAGGATGAAGATCTGGTAGGGTAACTAGCCCAGCTTCCCTCCCCTGTGGCATCCACTCCTGCTGCAGGATTCTTGGAGATTGATTTGGGATTGTAGCTGCTCTCTAACTCTCCGAGCATTTCCTATTGTCATAGCCAGGTACCCCCCAACCCCACCTGCCTTCCCACTGTATGGGTGGGAAAGCTGAGGTCCAGGGAGCAGAAGGCACAGTGGACCCAGGATCTCCAGACCAAGCACTGTTCCTTTTCCCAGGGGACCCAGACCATCCCACTCCAAGTCTTCCCTCCCTCACATCAGTTTCTAATTGTCCAGCCCCTGCCCCTCTTCCCTGCATGTGTCCTCAGGTCTGCTCCTGGCAAAGGAGGCTTCTTATCTAGCCACCATCTCTGTCTCCGAGGTGGGAGCTTGCCTCTGCCAGGTGGGGAGAAGGGGTGGAAGGCAGAGTGATGTGGGGAGCCTTTTCCAGTCCCTTTCTCCTGCTTTTCCCCTGGGAAGCCCATGGGGTGGGGAGGAAGCAGGAGGGGACCAGGTGCAGGCCAGTGGGATCACACAACAGCTACTCTTAGAGAACTAATGAGGCAAAGGAGTGCAGAAGCGCTGAGCACAGCAGCCCGGCCCAGCTGCACACTCCTGCATACCCGCCTGCCTGCAGGACTGAACCAATTGAGCAGGCTCTGCAGTCTTCATTCCTGCCCCAGGGCTTGGCCAGACACCTGGCCACATGTACCTTGGTGATGCTATTAATAACCCCCTGCATGGACCGCCCCCATGCAGCCTTGGCCTGGTGGGGAGTCAGTGGGGCAGGCTCACTTCTGGCCACTGAAGCTGCTGCCTGGCAGCAGCGGGATCATAATCATGCATGGGCTGGCCCATTCCACACGAAGCAACCAGCTGCAGTCCACCAGGCTGGTAAGGACTAACAGTGCTCCCACTCATGACTGAGGGGAGATGAGCTGCCTGTGACACTGCCTTGAGTGGCATCACCTGTGGGTAAGCATGTGACCTGCCAACCTTCCAGGAGTTGGAGCTCCTGGCGCAGTGCCCTGTGTTCACAGGCACGACAGGGTCAGGGACAGAAACTACCAAGGTTCTGAATGATATGGGACCAGCCCAGGATGCTCCCTTGGGGGCTGTCACCCCTCCCCACCCTCAGGGCTGAGACCCAGTTGCTTGTGCTCACCCGCCCACTCCCACCTCAGCAGGACCTACCTGAAGGATGGGAGGATGCTGTCATAGTAGTACCAAGTGGCTGTCAAGTAGGCCCGGCTTGAATCAGTGGAGTATAGGCGCCATGCGGCCTGGGGTATGGGGACATGGAAGGAAGGGGGCATCAGAGAAGCTCTAAGTCCCCACCAGCCCTCTGCCCCTGAGGGAACCAAGTCCTTGGCCAGCTAAGGATTATGTAGAGCCAGAGGCCAGTTCTAGCTCCATAGCCATAGCCAAGATACCAAGGCCTAGAGAGAAATGACTTCCCCAAGGTGACACAGCAGATCAACACCAGAGCCAAGAGCCTTGGGGCACCACGGTAACAGCTGGGGGTTTATTATTAGGTGGCACAGCTTTTCTTCTTTTTTTTTTTTTTTGGTGGGACTGGGGTTTGAACTCAGGGCTTCAAGCTTGTAAAGCAGGCACTCTACTTCTTGAGCCACACCTCCAGTTCATTTTTGCTCTGATTATTTTGGAGATTTTGGGGAGGGGGGGTCTCTCCAACTATTTGCCCAGGTTGGTTTCGAACCTCAATCTTCCTGTTCTCAGCCTCCCAAGTAGCTAGGATTTCAGGCGTGAGCCACCTGTGCCCAACTGGGCACAGGCTTTCAATCCCAGCTCTGAAGAATGACCAGACTAAGGAACCTCTTTTTTAGATAGATTTTTTTCTAATTTTTATTATTATTTTTTAGTGAGACAGGGTCTTGCTATGTAGCCCAACTAGCCTTGAACTCTCCATCCTCCTACTTCAGCCTCCTGAGTTCTGGGATTATAGGCATGTAGCACCACACCTGGCCAGAACCTTCTTCACCTGCAGAATGGATTGGATACTGCTTATCTAACAGGGTGTTGTAAGGAATAAATGGGCAAATGTCTATCCAGTGCCAAGGTCAGTGCTGGCACATAGTAGGCACTTAATGCCAGTGCCCCTGTTAAACACTCGTGTTACTTCCATTATCACATCTGATAAATATCCACTCACTGTGTGTCTGGTTAATGTCTTTCTCCCCTTACACCTTAAGCTACATCTTGGTCACTTAAGGTGCCACGTACTGTGTCTGGCACATGCAGGTGTTCTGCAGATGTTTGGAAAGTGAATGCTGACTGAGTGAATTATTATTACTAAATTCCACTCCATCTTTCTCAGCTGCCTGTTGCTGCCTATGGACTACTAGGGACTGACGAGAGGAGGAAAGCTCACTGTCCAACTCCTCAGCATCCATGGACTTGCAGGGCTTCCTCTGCAGCAGAAGGAATGACGGTCCTTCTCCCTCCAGGTAAGGAAGAGCCAGGGAGGGACCATGAGCAGACTGATGAGCCAGAGCAAGGAGACATAGTAGCTACTAGGCAGGACAAAGCAGAACTGGGCTCTGGATGCCCCCCTTCTTTGGGTGCCTCTTGTCCTTAAGGGGCTGCCACCGCTGACCTCACCAGCCAGGCGCCTTCCCAAGACAGAAATATTTTTACTTCCTGCTTGCCTAGGTCCCTGGCATGGACTGGGGAGCAGCTGCCAGGTCTCATTAATTATGGGCACCATAATACCAGCTGTCTCTCGGCATGGACAGTGCCAGCCGCCTGCCTCTACACCGCCCCTCAGAAGGCCAGCTCCCAGGGGACAATGGTCATTGTGCCCCAAGGGAGGCTAAGAAGAAAAGGCTGGGCTGGTGGCTGGAGATAGCAGGGATGGGGAGGAGGGTTCCATTCTCTCCTGGGAAGGAGAGATTAGGAAAGACTGAGTCAGGCCTAAGTTTGGGGTCAGAGGATGGCATGCTGGGGAGCAGGCAGAGGTGGGGCTGTGACAATATCCCCCAAAGCATTTCCTACAAGGAATTCTCTTGCATATGCCCCTGACTGAAGAATAACCAAGGTCTCGTGACAGGGTTACAGAAAATCAGGTCCCTCGCCTCAACCCACCAGCACACAGATCATCCGTAAACCTAAGGGAAATTGAGACCATATGGTTCCTGGCTTTCCACCCCCTCCTCTGGCTGCTCCTTCACTGGCTCCTTTCCCACTTGGCCACTAAATATTGAAGTTCCTAAAAGCCCAGTTCTGGACCATCTTCTCTGCATTTGTGTGACTGCCTGAGGAATTTATGAAGGAATCAAGGTGCTGGGAGTGGAGTGGGCTGACTGACAGCTGCACAGCTGAAGGATGGCATAGCTGGATCTCCACCATAGGCTGGGAGCCTCCTGTCCAGGTTCCATCCACCCCAGGCCATGGATTGCTGTGACCAGAGTTGGCAATGGAGTAGCTCTGGTGAGCCCCAAACAGAGCATTTGATGCAGGGGAAAGTTTCTGAAATCTCAGGCAGCATCCTGGTTTTGTCTGTGATTTGGCATGTGACCCTAGAAAAGTCACATCCCTCTCTGAGCTTCAACGTGGAGTCCTAGTTATGTGACTGGGACGCATATGTCTGCACACAGGGCTGACTGACAGGTCAGTCTGGGGGTCGTGTACCTGGATGAGGTTGGCTGCTGGCATCCTCCGCTTCTCAAAGTGCTTCTGCCGGTGCTGCTCTTGTACCTTCAGGGCGAAGCCAGAGCCAAGGATGCCCTAGGGAGACAAATGGTTGAGGGAATGTGAGAAGGGGGTCAAGAGGCTGTGAGCGTGTCTCCATTCCTGCCCATCCAGGGCACCCCAGGCTTCCCAGGCAAATTTGTGACAGGGGCTGAGCAAGTCTTTCCCCCAGCCTCCCTCACCAACCCAGCAGAGGGGAACTCACAGCAGGCAGGGCAAAGAAGGAGATGCCCAGTAAGGCGAAGCCAGCAGCCAGGACCCTGCCCAGCCATGTATGTGGCGTTTTGTCACCGTAGCCGATGGTTGTCAGTGTAATCTGGGGATGCAAATGAGTTACCCACAGGACTGGGCACAGGACCACCCACAAGAACTTGTTGGGCACAGGCAGGTAGGAGGCTGATAGCAAGAGAAGGGCTCCCCACTACCACTTCCGTGTTCACCTACAGAAGCTGACCATAAGGACTCATGCGGGAGCAGGAGGGGCAAGGATGGATTCCCCTCCTGTGCTGGTCACAAGGGCTTGAATGAAGGGCTATATGTGAGGGCAAAGCAGATACTCAGAACAGGACGGGGGTTGGCATGGTGGCTGGTCACAGGGGGTCCCTAGTGCCAGAAGACAGTGACAGGCCAACCCTGAGTGGAGGACAAACCTCAGGAAGTTTCCGGGGAGGGTCCCAGGGGTTAGGGCGGCCCTGCACAGACCCTCACGCACCGTCCCCCACCACAGCGAGTCGGCATAGGAGGAGAAATCCGAGTTGGCGTCCTTCTCAGCCAGATAGACGAGGAAGGAAGCGAAGATGAGCACCAGGAACCCGATGTACCAGGCGGTGATCAGCTCCTGGGGACAGGTGGGGTAGTATGAGGAGCCGTTCTCCCTGGAGAGGAGAGCGGCTCCCAGAACGGTCTATGGGCTGCGCCCTGAAAGGGAATTAAGTACTCCACATCTCCAGTCCCTGGCGATGGCTGTGCTCACTTTTCCTTTCTCAGCAACTAGACCCTGCCCCGCCTTCTCGGAAACCATCAGGGCCCTGGAGTTCCAGACTCAGGACTCCACCCACAGGCCCACCTTGTCCCGCCCTCTAAACCCTCCTTTCAGCCTTAAGATCCAAGTCCTCATCTAGTCCCTTCTCAGCCACACCCCAGCTCCCCACTTGGCGGTGCGAACAGGAAGCTTCCAGGTTAGACCGTCAAGCCTCATCTCTCAGACCCAGCCTCCTACTCAGGCCTAGACTACTAGACCCTTTCCCCACCCACAGGCCTGGCCTCCTGCTCTGGTCCCGCCCCGGCCCCGCCCCTTCCTGCCTCCCCGCCCCCTCTGGCCTCGCCCCCCACCTGGGCTCTGCCGCACACGCCCTCGGGTTAAGCGCGCGGTCTCTAGCCTCACCTTGCTGTGCGCGTAGACCACCGAGCCCAGCAGCTTCCAGGTGCCGCCGCGGCGGTCCATGCGCACCATCCGCAGAATCTGCAGGAAGCGCATGCTGCGCAACGCAGACGTGGCAAAGATGTTGCCTTGTGTGCCCGCGGCGATGACGGCCACCGAGGCCACGAACACGATGAAGTCTGCAGGGCGGGGTGATGAGGTCACCAGCCCACCACGCGTCAGGACCCAGGGCCGGGAAGGGGAGCCTCCTGGGACCGTGTGGAGCTGGCGGATTGGGAGAGTCCGCCGAGTCTGTCGGTAGCCAGGGACGGGGTCAGGGACGGGGTCAAGGTGCCAACCCTGGGACTTGGGGTCAAGAGTAAGGCCGACTGGGGAAGGCCTTGTACCGATGACACAGAAGGGTTTCCTGGCGAAGCGGAAGCGGCCTTGCCATCCTCGGTAGCGGCAGCAGCAGCCAGCAGACCAGACACGGATAATGTACTCCAGGCCAAAGACCACAATCATCACGAATTCCTGTGAGACCCGGGCCTGAGCTCTGGTTCCCACTCTTGGGGACCAGGACCCAGGTCAGACCCTGACCCAGTTAGTCCTGGATTAGGAGCACCAGCACTTCCTCAGATCCCTCCAGGAGGGATTTAGGGGAATTCCAGAAAGGCAGTGACCCCTTGCACATCCTCTAAGGAGACTAGAAATCCAAGCCTGTCCTCCCCTTTCTGCCCCATAAATTGCCTGGGTTTCTCCCAAACTGACCTCCACCCCCAGGCCATCCCGGACTTCCCAGCTCTGACTTGGAGACATAAAGGGGAGGCTGCTGCTGGCAGTCTCACCCCCAAGGGGCTGGGGTTTAGCAGTTTTTATCCTGAAAAAGGGTGGAGCCTACTCACCTAGATTGCAAGGCAGGCGCTCTTACTGCGTGAGCCAGCCCTTTCTTGCCATGGGTTTTTTAGAGATAAGATCTCTGGAACTATTTGCCTGAGACTGGCTTTGAACTGCTATCCTCCTGATCTCTGCCTCCTGAGTGGCTAGGATTACAGGTTTAAGCCACCAGTGCCTGATTGGGCATATCTTTTTTAAAGTTGCATGTATTTCTTTTATTTTTCTTTTTTTGGTGGTACTAGGGTTTGAACTCAAGGCCTCACACTTGCTAGGCAGGCACTCTACACTTGAGCCATGCCACGAGCCCAACTTTATTTTTGTCTTCACACATTTTCATTAGTGCATATTAATTGTATAATGTGTGTGGGGGGGGGTCGTTGTAGTATTTCCATACATGCATATAATATACTTTGATTATATTCACCCCCTCTATTAACCTTTTCGTTACTGGGCCTATCATAATGGCCCACACAGAGGCAGGAAATCCCTCTACACCAGCTATTATAGAGTGGGGAATGATGCCCAGAAAGGGGCAGCCACTAGCTCAGGGAACACGGCACAGCAATCTGCTCTCTGACTCACAGTCTCAGAAGCCTCTTTCTACTTTCAGCCCTCAGCTCAGAGATGCTACCTCACACAGACTCTCTCAGATGGACTGACAGAGACCCTCAACACTCACCAAAATGAGGAGACACTCGTTGGCAAGTTCCTGGTGCTCCTGGATAGTGGACAGTACAGACAGCACCAGGCAGCTGAAGACCAGCAAAAATCTACAAATTGCAGCATAAAGGGGAAGGTTAGATGGCTGGAGGGAGGCTGGGAACAGCCGAGGAGCCCCTAGGGTTGCAGTCAGGGAAGGAGGGAAGCACTGTTTGGGGAGAATTCTTTGGAAAGCAGAATCTGAATCAGAATTCTGGGGAGCATGGCTCTGTGCTGGGCACCAAAAGCAGCAGCCCCAAGCTCCAGCCTACTGAGCTCACCTCCCCACCCTCTCCATGGCACACTGACTCAGCTGTGGCTCAGAGAAGAAGTCACTCAGCTGTGAGAGAAAGCAGTGGGAACACAGAAGCTCAGAGTTCCTCTAGGCTCAGCAACCCACAAGTGGTGGCCTCGGCCCCGGCTCAGTTTTAAGGTTGTCTTGAGAGAAGTGCCCCAAGGTCAGCTAGGGCTCAGGAAGGTCAGCAGCTG